ACAAAATGCATTGAACAACGTGGAGGTCACCTACAAGACATAATATTCAAGAATTAAGCTTGTAAGTGAACCAAACTAAACTTTAAATGTAGTACTTTGTAAAAAAGAAAGAATTAAATTGTTATCTTTAATACTTTTTGCCTTGTGATTTATAAAAAAAAGTAAGTTCCCACGCAGCGCCCTGTATTTCCTAGAGGAACCAGATTTTTCTCTCATGTATGTACTTGTGCTATTAGTATAATTGTGGTATCAGAGGATTTAGGATACATGTAACTACGACATTAAAGAAAAATGGATTAAAATAAATCACATAAATATTATTGCTTCTTCAAAATTCGCAAATATCCAGGTAGGATCAACCATCTTTTTTTTTCTCTTCGCACTTGTAGGGGGTTACAATAATAATTATTTATTTATTTCAGACCTTTAAGGTTAAATACAGCTAATCCTAGTTTAATACTACTTAATAACTAACAATGTGAAATTGGCCTCTGTTCGAGTTCACAAATCTTCGGGCACAATCAGGCCTATTAGCTCTCTGCTGTCATCTATTTAAATATTGTTGAATATTATCATGGAGTATTTAGTATTCAAAATTATTTAATATTTCACGATAATTTATTCGAAAACTTAAATAATAAAAATTGTCCAAATACTTTAAACTAACCTGAAAATTACTCATTAGGTACATCGTACTAAACATTTTTTGTTTAAAAACAAATTAATAAAGATTATAATAGTACGGTTTATGTAAAATGAAGGTGAGTTCTAGTTATTGAGTTTTAACTAAAAGAGATGATTATCAAAGCGCAGCCACCGGACCGAGCGATGCTTTCTTAGCACGCACTCAAATTTTACAATTTTTGAACGGAATTACTCGATCGTTTCTAAAATGATGTGCATGAAATTTGAAATTCGACCTAAATTTTCATTTTGTATATTTGAATTTCGACTTGTAACCTGAGATAATGTTAAATGACATCATGTTAAATCTATGGGAAGTATATTCTATTGTAAAATTATACGCGCGCAAATGTCCAGAACTGTGAAAAAAGAAAAATATAATCTCAGTACAGGTTAGTAAAAAAACCGACCTCAAAGTTCGTGGAATTCCATCACTTGCCATATTTATATAATTGAGAATCTCCTTTTTTTTATAGTCGGTTAAAAGTTACTGCGCTACGTTAGGGAATTGATATTCCGCCTAACATAAACATCATTACAGCTTATAGCGCTATATAATACTACCTATTATTTGACTTTGGCTGTCGTTTGCCTTGCGCAGTAAAGCGGTGCGTGATTATGTCTACTCTTCGAAAAATTGCTTTTTAGCAGAGGCCAATTTCATTCGCAACTATCACAACTCTGGCTAGATTAAGACTACAGAGATTGCGCAATACTTATGAATAAAAAGCCAGTAACATGTTTTTATTGCTCCGGTAGTGTTCAGGCAATACGAGTAAAGTATACATAGGAGGTGTTAAGAATAGTGTAAGAAAAGAGAAGATTATTAATGGCAATAGAGAACCTAAGGGGAAATATCTTTGGGATCTGATACGTCACGACAGTTTTCTTACAAACAATAGAAGGGAAGATCGAAGGAAATAAATGAAGAGGAAGACCGAAACGAAGTTATTTAGGTGAGATAAAGTATCAGGAAAAGAAGAAAAGTTGGGGCTTTGAACAGAGATGGTTGGTGATTACTCCACACTCAAAAAAAATATATATATATATATAAAAAATAAGAAGATTAACATTTCACAGGAAGGCGCTGCTACCCGTGCCTTTTGATTCGTTTAACCGACGATGACATTAATAATATGGTCTCCGATTCGACCTCGTAGTTACTAACTCGTAACAGGAGCGCCAGAGCATGATCAAGGGATAATTTAGACATTTCTATCCTAACCCGTCTTCCAGAGTCTTCGGTTAGGCTGTGCCACCGAGATCTGAGTTTATTAAAGCATTTTATGGAAGTATTATTAATGACGTCTTTTTAATGAATTAGCATCGCACTCAAAAAAACAAACCTATCACTTTCAGGACTGGGCTGAATTCAACGCGGCAACGTCAACGATTGACGCTCTCAGACCCTCAGTCCGATCCCCAGCGGTATCACCCCGGCATTCTCCCCGTGCGACCCGTAAGGCTCCTGCTCCTTGCGAAAATGCATACGGGGAACTAAGAGCTCCACCGTTACCGCCACGGAAGAGTCTATCACCAGCTGAACCAGCGATTGTTGCTGCGTCTAGTGTACAGGATATTGCTACTGCCAGTGCACCAGGTAATTCTTATTTAAAGATTTTTAGGGGACTTTAGGTTTAGTCATAAGTTAATTTTAAATATAATGAAAATGATACGTCGGTTTTAAGGCCCTGTACTTAGCATGTACGCATGTCACACAAATTGTCCATCTTCTTTACATATAACTTATAGAATATCTATTTGCCAAGTTTAATTGATATCGGTTACCGGTTCATTACATCATACGTTCTTTTCTAGCTCCCCAAAGAGGATCTTGTACTCACATTTCCATTCTGTTTTTTTGTGATACCAACAGGGCTGTCACGATAAACCACGACTTGCGCGAGAGCGACATAAAGCCGAGATCTCTATGCGAGGATAAGTCTTGCGCGAGAGATTGTTATTCTCGCTAGTCGTGCCTTATCGTGCTAGCCCTACAAGTGACAGGATGAACAAGCCTGACCATACAGTTATTGTGCAGCTCAAAGGGCACTGCCACTGTGACTCAGGGTGACAGTCATAAGTTGACGAGTCCTATGTACCTGTTATTTCGCCAGAAGCCTTACTCTTCAAAATCGAATCGAAGAGAGACTCACGTTACTACTTGGCGGCAGAACTAGGTAAGGTGGCAGTACTTCCCTGGGCGAACTCTTTCACAAGGAGCTCTACTGCTTTTTGTCACTCGGCAATTGATTGCATTGATTTGGTAAAGGGGTATCGTAACGAATACACCATTATTTTTCTGTTAAATATCATAAGTAGAGAATAAATTATTAAAACATTAGACGTCAATACTATCGTGTAAAGAAAATACTTTATTTTGTAGCAGCCTTTCCAAAAATGTCAGAAAGTTTTTACCCTTGTGTTATGAAAATAACATTTGATCCACCGCAGAACCTCGAAGACGTTCATCGCTGGAACCCGAGCCAGACTCGCGGCATCGACTTACCTCCATCATCACAGGCTCTACGGAAACCATCACCGGCATCATCGACACCAGACACGAGGTAATCAGTTTACTCTTGTTGTGTGGTCTAATTTATTACGTTGTAACTCAAAGGCACCTATAAATTTCTAGGTGTGCTCTCTTATACTGTCTTAAAAAGTGTAAATCAAATATTGTTTAACCTTGACTGCGTCTGACAGGTGCCACCAGACCCAAGAGCATTCGAGAAGCCCCGGCGAGCATGCACTCCTCAATCAAACAGTAGACCGCTTCCTGCCCCGCCCCCTGAACGCTTTGTAGACGATAGAGCATCAGAAAAATCAACAGAAAAACTAGAGCACAAAACAGAAATCAGACCAACGGAAAGACACCCAGAAATGAGGCCGACAGAAAGACACCCGGAAATTCGGCCATTAGAAAGACACCCAGAAATACGGCCAACAGAAAGAAACATATCAGAAAACAGAGAACGACAACTCCCAGAAATTAGAGATAGATACAATATGCCAGAGAGACATTTAGATAACAGAACCCCGGAAATAAAACCAGAAAGGCCATTACCAGAAAATAGGTTAACAGACAGACATAGCATGCCAGAAAATCGTCCATCAGAAAGACACGTCACTGAAGCCCGGACCGATCGACATAGTATGCCCGAAACGAGACCACCGGAAAGACCTGAACATCGCGTACCAATGCCAGTACCCAGTGATAGAGAAAGACATACAGAAAATAGACAAGATAGGTACGTGTCTGAAAGATCAACAGATAGGCAAGACAGGCACGATAGTCGTATGCCTTTACCTGTTGAAAGATTAGACAGACACGATGTTAGACACGCTCCAATACCTGCGGAGCGACATGTAAATTTACCTACAGAGAGACCGTTACCGGCCGAAAGACATAATGTCTCCGAACGCCATGTTTCCTTACCTGAGACTAGACATATACCTAGCGATAGACATATAGACTTTAGAGGCATAGAAAAACCTGATTATAGAATACATGAGTTTAGAAGTTTCGAACGTGTTGACAACAGAGCACCGCCTAGGCAAAGGTCTCTGCCAGCTACTACAAGCGGTAGTATAGAACAGCCATCGAAGTCAATAACCATGCCTAAATTCCCGTCTGATGTTGGGAAGGAGCATGGCTATGAGAATGTTAATGTTTCTATTGAAGATGAACCTAAGAATGAGCTGCCTATTGCACGTAAGTACTATTTAATTTTAATTATTGTTATAATAATATACAGGGTGTCCCACGACGATGGGACACGGTGGGAAATTTTGTAGATAGGATATTTTGCTTCATGGAGACATTATTCTTTATTTTTGGCCTCATCTGGGAATCGAACTTTCGACTAAATTATTATTAAAATCCTTCGGCGATTTTCCACCACACCTTCTTGGCCGTCCCCGCCGTAGCCTTCCATTCTCGGGCACCCAAGGAGCGACGACTTTCGCCCACTTCCCGGGTTGCATCCGGCTAACTTGAACTGACTAAATGTAATAAAAAACCGTAAAAAAAACTTTTTTTTATGATGCCGATCCAAAAGGGTCAAGATCTAGGAAAGACAATATTAACTAAGAAACTCGGCTGTTCTCCGCTTGTTATGACCCCGAACCCCACTTTGAAGTACGAATGTCGACTGTAAAACGCATTTTAATTTCATATGCTATATAGATTTGAAATTTTGAAATCTTTCGTAGTTATTCACTAAATAATTATTATCACTGATCATAGGTTTCTATCACTGTATGATTGTCAATAAATTCGTGACCATGGAGCGTGTAACCGTTCCGAAATGTCGAAAAAATAAAAACAACTCACCGTGTTAAGAAATCTGCAATAAGTGACTATCAAGATGCTATGTTTGCTTATCAGGAATTAATCCTTATAATTAGTGTTGCAAAAAACTCGGGTCTGGGAGTCTACATTTTAGGACTCGACTCTAATTCACAAGACTCGACTCAGAAAGACAGAGACTCCACTGCTCAATGTATTTATTACGAGCCTATCGAGTTTCCGAATAGACTCGCGTTCGACATTAGTACTCGAGTCTGTTTATGTAACGAGTCGAGCTCGAGTCTGGTAAGTACCTACAGAGCGGTGTTGAGGTGTGGTGTGTTAAACTAGAGTATAATTACTGTAGTATAATTAAATATCAAATCTTTTTTATCATCATATTGAATCTGTTTTATATTTAATTCGTGGGCAATGAATAGTTGTTCAGTAAAATTGCACCCTTCTTGACGTACTCGAAACTTTGTAGACTAGACGTCGCTTCGAGAAGGTTTACGACTCGAGTTCTTTTTAGACTCGAGTCGTGAGTGAGTGAGATTCGAAAGTGTTTTCCCACCCAGTCGTGCAAAATTGAGTCGAGTTTATAAATGTAGACTATCTGACTCGAGTATTTTGCGATACTACTTATAATTGACCCTTATTACTACTTACATCATTTCCCTCTGTGTCTCTTAGCTCTTAGCGATGGTAGCTCAGCGGCAGAACTGTTGCTTCTCAAGTGAGAAGTCGATGGCTGGAATTCATGTATAACTTTAATTTCTATCGACGAAGGAAAAGATCGTGTTGAAACGTGCCTGTAGAAGAAGGTGCACAACCTTTGGAAATCGTGTAAAGACTCCAATTCACATTAGGTTACCGTGGCAGACTGGCCGTATAGTGGTTGATGATATTGATGATTGTAATATTAAGTTGTATTGAATATCACTATATGTTACTATCATGATATGAATTTTTTTGTGAAATCGCTCCTACTTTGTTGTAATTTTTAATACAATTATCAAATGCTAAGCTTATCAAATTCCTTCAATCCTACTAGATTTGCACCAGCGCCTTTAGCATACCATGCCTGACGCTCTCCCGACTTACGAATGTTTCTATGTGCTTGTTAATAGACCTTTGTTTTTGGGTTTTGGCATCTTTTTTACACGTAGCGCCATCTGTGAGAAATCTGTGAAAGTTTTCTTCATTCAACCACATAATATTAATAATGATGTTTTGGTTAAAGAACGGTAAATTTGTTTTCCATAACAAATAAATACAATAGCATATGTTTTTCTTTTCAGCTAAAAAAATCAACCCCTTGACACACGACAAGCACGGGAGAAAATACGGTGACAACGTATCTTATGAAAATATAAATTTAGATTACATAGCACGTTTAGTAGACGAAGGTTATCCTAAAGACATTGTTGTCCGAGCGCTAGGCATCACTCGGAACGACTTAGAAATGGCGTGTGACATATTACATGAATTTGGTACAAAGGAACATAGAGAAGAAATGATGAGAAACAAATTCACTGTGTAACGATAAAAAAATATAAATTAATAAATACAAATCAATAGGCCAATGTGATAACTAATGTACATATTTTCAATTTGAATGTGTCATTTCTTTTTAACGGTTGATATTTCTTTTTTGATCATAGATATAAGTCAATACTGAAATAGGATATATTCAAATGTAAGTGCCGAAATTGAAATGTATTGTAAGTCTGTAAAGAAAATATTAAAATCTATTGTCCGCTAAGAAGGAGATCTGCATAACTGGGAGATGTGTATAACTATTACCAAAATATAAAATTTCCATTGGTTAGTTTATATATATCTCCTTTCGTCTCAGTTTCGATTGACATTGGGTTTATTTAGTTCTTAGGTTTTCGCGATTGTTACACATAGGAAATGAAACTATTTTTCCGGATTTAAATCGCGAATATTTGTTTTTTCAAACAAACCGACGTATCGGGCCCTTTACAGGTCCCATGGTCACGGTTGACTGAGGTGGTACAGTCTTCAACCAGTTATGTCTAATATTAATGCAAACCACCCTATTTTTTCACTATAGTTAAAAAAATGGTCACGGTTGACTGAGGTGGTACAGTCTTCAACCAGTTATGACTAATATTAATGCAAACCACCCTATTTTTTTAAACTATAGTGAAAAAATAGGGTGGTTTGCATTAATATTAGACATAACTGGTTGAAGACTGTACCACCTTAGTCAACCGTGACCATGGGACCTGTAAAGGGCCCGAAACGTCGGTTTGTTAGAAAAAACAAATATACGCGATTTAAATCCGGAAAAATAGTTTCATTTCCTATTGGGTTTATTTTTCATTGTAAATCAAACTTGCGCCAAGATGATAAACTGGTGTTCCAAATCAGAGTAAATAAATATCTACATATAGATACAAGGAGTGACAGAGTGGTTAAAACCACCAAATATTTATTAATTACTTTTTCGATTTCCGGATTAACGTATAAGAGTTTTATTGAATTGTAAGAAAAACTACTCAAGAAGGTAAATTTGGATTTTAAAGTAATTTTAGTGGGACCGTCTAAAAAAATGTACAAGATAGTTAACCTTTCACCAAAGTAAATGTTTTTTATGCTACAAGCAAAAGATTGTTTTAACTAATGCTGATATTTTAAATACAATTATATGGTTTTAACTCCATTTTAGTCCATGTAGACATTTAATTACTTATTTGGAACATCATGAGCTATGAGGATATTTTTCAAAATCGCTTATCAAAACAATTAGCATCGTGTAAACATTATGATAAATATAACATATTCTAAATTATAATAAAGCCCGTTGTACACAGAAGTGGAGATGTGTGTAGACTAACAATATGAGTTCGTTATTTGTTTTATTGGAACGAAACCCTATTTTGTTATACACATCTCCTCTCATCTCCTTTATAGGATAATCGGCGTAATGATAAACAAAGTATACAGGTTATTCTAAAACTACCAGACTTTTAATATCTAAGACGCAAAAGCAATATGGTCAGTTCCTATAATAGTTTTACACTACATCGCTTACCTAACGACAAGTATCAAAGAATGTGCAGTTGATTTTGGTAGATTATAGATGGCCCCACTTATTAAGCGCCATCTGTGGAACTAGTTCAGCACTGCCAATAAGATTTCTTGCACACTAGAGACTGTCGAAGGACATTTGGATCTATTTTTATTTCTCGTTATAATTGATAAAAGACAGATCCAGGCGATCGTACAGTCTGTAGTATGCGTGCTTAAAAAGTTTAGCCGATACTTCAAAAACCTACGGCACAGTTGCACCTTCAATTAGAAGGTACGTTTATTAAGAATACGTAGAAACAAACAAGCTGTACAGCCGTAGCGGTAATACCCAGTGTGTGGCAACCCTATTAGCCACTAGTACGTTAGTACGTGAGACGCTGTGCCCTGTTTTTCAAGGCGTTACGTACAACTTACATCGTATTCATAACGATTTCAACGATTGATGTGATCCATTTTCTACTTAAAAATAGAACACATTTAAACTGTGATTTCTAATAACCTCAAATACGATTATAGTATAATAGATAGTAGTGGAATTGGGTGAATTGGAACTCAAATATGAATAGAAACAAGCTAAAAGATACCACCCACTGAACACAGGTTTCCTAATAGAATACTATATTGGTTCTTCCGGCTAACTGTGCGAGGCGAAAGAAGGTGACATAATTTATATTGTCTTTTTAATGTTATCAAAAGTTTCACAGATCGTACAAACTGATTTTTACAGCTGGAAATCAATGCCATACTCACCCTTGGTTTAGCGAATAACCTCCAAATCACAGCAGTGCAGTATCATGTCGGACCATTTTTTGACATAACGTGTGTGTGTCGTATTATATGAGCCTTTGTATATATAAAATTTGTATGTATAAAAGTAAAACTGGGTTAACGTGCGTATCGTGGCCCTGAGCTACGTTTTAGCTGCTTAACTTCCACAAAGTAATTCACAAGTGGTTGAAATTTGTCCTTATTCACCCCAGAGTAGCAATTCACCCAATTTTAGAGTAGGTTAACATTTTTTTAATACTAAAGTCTCGATGTGGTTTTGATAAAAAAATAATTGTACATAAAATAAACTACCCTACGGTGCAAAAATTTATTGAAATTTAACTGACAGGTTAGAATAGAAGTGTTCCATTTTTTAAATAGTTACATGAAATAAAGCAAGCCAGAGCCGCCGTTTTGATTTTCGGTTAATTTGCGTGATAGTATTATACATAGAACAACTAAGTGAATGAACATATTTTAAAATTTCATTAACATAGAAATTGCTGAAGAATTTTCTTTATCCAATGTTAGTAGACCATTCTAAAACGTTGCCCCGTGTTTTATACGTCATTTCGAATGCTACAACCTTAGTTATACTGCAAATGAGAAAGTGTTTCGTGTCTCCATAAAAATCGAGATTCTGGTTGCACAAATGCTCATTAAGTCTTATTTATGTTGGATTAAATAATATGCTGTCGGAAAATAATTAAACAATTTATATTATGCAAAAATGTATTTGATAATTTTTATTTCAAAGTCAAATACACACACGCACATACTTCAGCTACTCAAAGCATGCGTAATGCAATATTTTGTACATGCTTCGTTTGCTGAAGTAGAGGACATTATAACTCATTATTAAATTAAAATAACTTTTCTAGAAATCATTGCAAATTTTCATCCTATCTTATGGCTTTAAGATGAATTGATTTAAGGCCGTGTCACACAATCGTGTTCAATAACACAATTCTAACGCAGCATTTTATCTCACACTAATTAAATACATTCTGTAACAGTAGTCCTTCGTACCTATTTCAGCCGCTAAGCAGTAATGTGAGTATTACTGCGTTCCGGTTTTGAAGGATAAGGGTGCTGGTAAAATTACAGGCACGTGGTACTTGTCAACATATACCTCAGGGTGACGGGCTTAGTGACAGTGCTCCTCAGATCTTTGCGACTTAAAGCTCTGTCTGGCACGGCAACTGCTATGGACAAGCGTGTCGCTTACCATCAGGCGCACGACTTGTTCGTCCCGTCACTTAATACCATAAAAATATCTTACTATATGCAAAACAATGACGTATATATTTTACGTCAGACAATTACACCGTTCACCTGGTTTCAAACTCGAATTCCCTGTAACTTGAGTACATAAATTCTGGGGAACAAAATAGATAAACAATATTACTTTGATATAGTCAAATCGATGCGGCCAAAGAAGGATGGTCTGCTAGCATATTTATTTAAACAATCAACAATTCGTAGGTTATATTTTTAGTTAGTTTTAAATTCCAGTGTTGTTTTACAAATACAAGGTGTCCTGAATACGTGTAAGTGAAGTATTTTTTGTCAATTCCCTAAAATTCTCGGCATGTACAGGGCTATTTATGAAATACAATCATCCTCCCAAGACTATATTACTAACATCAAATCAACAACTTTTGTTCTATAACTACAAAATAATATCTACAAATTTACCAAAAATAAGCTTTTAAGCCTTGTACTATCTGACACTTTTTAGATCTATAATTGGTAGTAAGTTCAAACGTGTAAGTGTCCTTTGTTATCACACAGAGTTATCACAGTTTAGAGCATAGTTTCCTAAAGTGGTCCTGACTGCCCCCCCAGTGCGCCGAAAAGCCCTAAGGGGACGGTAGCAGCTGGGGCCGGCGTTGATGTCCAGGTATTACAAGAATATTATACCTGGACATATTACAGAAACAATATAGATTATATTGTTTTCAATTATTTTTTTGTGATGGTGGGCGCTGACATTTTTTTATCTTGCCTAAGTCGGCGGTGAGCCGAAAACTTTGGGAACCTATGCCATAGAGCGATTTTTATTTTTGTATGAAAGTAAAATTTGACGAATTCTTAAGTGATGGAATAAATGCAGTTGTGTTTGGTGTTAGTAATACAGTCCCGCGAGTTTGTTCATATTTTATAAATAACCCTGTATATTAATGTTTCTCATTAAATAAAAAATAGACTCTTTCTAGAGCCTTAGGGTTTGTGTAATATTTCGGGGCATCCTGTATTTCTCGATCAGTATTCATCTATACTCACTATTCCCAATAAGAGCTATGTAAATACTTGTATGATAAATATATTTTCATATAAAAATGCTGTCTAGAAGTTATCTTAAAAGTAGCTGTTCATATAGAATATATTTTTTCATATATTATTAATTAATTGTAAAAAATAATAAAATACAAATTTTGACACTTTGACTTATGACACTTGCAATATTTATTAATATTATAGCGTAATTATAAATTCTTCGTTTAATAATTGATATTGTTATTGTAAATACTATAAGAAAAATTAATTGAAAAAAAATCTATTTTTTTGAAACTCGATAAGAATTAGTCTACTTCCATTTTCTGATCTAAATTTAGGAAAACATAGTTTAATACAAAATTTTTAATTTTTTTTATATGAATGAGCTTACAATGGCACCAAAATCCTTTTGACACTTGATCGCGGTTATTA